GCGCCGTGACGTCACACCAGCGCCAGCCCCGCGTCGCAGTACGCGCCTGTGCCGCTGGGCTCTGGCTTCTAACCCACGCGCCAGAACACTGCCCGCCCTAGCCCGACCCCGGAAAGGTCAGAAGCTGGACCCGAGTGGCCGGACAGCTATTATTAGAAGTTCTATTGTGTGGTGACGCCAGGATCCAGGGGCGGCGCCCGAAAGTCACTGTCTCGATGTGCGCCGTGTACCGGGGCCCACAGACAGGTGCCCGGAGGAACAGTTGGGGAGATGAGTCTCCAGCCGCACCGAGGTTCCCGCCATCCCGTCTGCAGCTGTGGGAACCAGGGACTGGCCACGGCGCTGGGACCCAGCTGTGGTCTCAGTAGGGCATCGCGCTTGGTTGGCGGCAACGCTGCGGAGAATTTCTGCCCCCTCCTGCCCCGGTGCTGGCGGAGGCTCCACCAGCTGGTCATTGGACAAGTGCGTCCCACCTGTCACCACAGCCTGTTGCAGACCTGACTCGGTGGCAATGGAATAATGAATGCAGGGCCCGTTCAGTAGGGTAGCTGCAGACGTGTAATAGGCCGTTCCCTGGGTTGTCATTTCTTTGGGTTCCTTTACAGGACGCTGCCCTAGTGCAGTGATGGCGAACCTATAACACGCGTGTCAGAGGTGACACGCGAACTCATTTTTTTGGTTGATTTTTGTTAAATGGCATTTAAATATATAAAATAAATATCAAAAATATAAGTCTTTGTTTTACTATGGCTGCAAATATCAAAAAATTTCTATATGTGACACGGCACCAGAGTTAAGTTAGGGTTTTTCAAAATGCTGACACGCCGAGCTCAAAAGGTTCGCCATCACTGCCCTAGTGTGTACCCTGCTTATGTGTCTTGCAAGTACTCAGTGGGTTGGGCAAAGAAGAGGCCTCTACCTGCTCCCCTGGCCACCACTGATTCCCTCACTAGCTTTTTGGGACTTGGAGGCTGCCACAGTGGGATTCAACAGGGTTTGAACCTCAGCCTTGTAGTACACTACCACTAAGTCAAGTTTGAGCCTCAGTTCCCCCATGTGGGAGCTCCAGACTTGCCCTGCACGTGCTCAGGGGCCTCCAGTGAGGGTTAGCAGCTCTGCCGTGCAGGAAAGCTTGTGGTGGGAGGCATGGCACCTTACAGGGCAGTTGTGGTGGGTCCAGAGGCTGTACTGCCATGTCTAACAAGGGCTAGATGCCAGTTGGGCGCAGGAGGTGCTGGGGAGCAGCAGGGTCAGCTCTAAGTCTGCTCTCCCAAACTCACATTACCCCATGGGGAAGGCCCATCTGTACTCTGGATATTGGGAGTAATCAGCATTGATGGCATTTTAGAGTGAGGTGACTGGGGATAAGGAGGAATAGAAAAGGCATGGAAGGAGCTGAGGGGCTATAGAGTGCACCACCACCACCACCCCCCTAATGGAGGGAGTACAGATGAAACTCTGCTTGATCCTTCTCAGGCTCCTCAGAACGCTCTCACCAGGCACTGGGCCTCTAGGTCCATCTTTACACCTCCAGTTCTGGCAAGAAACCCCATCTTCCATATCTAGTTGGATTCCTCATTCCCAGTGGAAGTCTGATCACCTGCTTGCCTTCAATAGCAATCCTGCTAGATGGGTTTAACCAGAACCCCCATCAGGTAAGTACTCTTAGTAACTTCCCAGCACTGACCCCTACCCTGCTCCTGGCATAAATCCACACTTTTCCATGCAATACTTAACTTCTTCCCCCCACTGCACCCACATCTTCAATAGTGTCATGAATAATTTGGCCCTGAACAGTGAGTACAGACACTGTTGCTAGGTGCCTCCCTGGAAGTGAGTAGTAAGCAATAAGCTGGAGCAGCAGATGAAGGGCTGAGGGATCCAGGGAGGCTGCCCAGGTGGGAATGTTCCTGAGCAGGCCAGAGGGTTGGCAGATCATGTAGGGCAGCCACCCTAGGAGCTACAAATGGCTGGCTGCATGCTCAGTGGGTCACAGGGCAGGATTGCAAGGTATGAGTCCAAGGTGGGTGCTCAGCCTAGCATCCTTCCATGTGAGCAGAGTCACTTCCCACAGGCTTCTGCCTCCCTGGTCATGGCTGGAATGCCCTCCCCGTTGTCTAGCTATATATCAGTTCTACCATGGGCCCTCAGGTTTATGAAAAAGAGCCTGATAGCCAGGGTCCCATGATCAACCTACAGGACAGGACAAGGTGCAGCCCCATGTCTAGGCCTGGTCAGCTGCTTGTGTAAAAGTTGGTAATTGCTCACTCAGGTCTTGCAGGAAAGGGCAAAAGGTGGCAGCCCACCAAGGCTCTTTGCCAAGACTTAAAAAGTTAGCAATGGGGCTGGCTGCTCTGCTTGTCCCCTCTGTCAGATAGCACTTTCCCACTGTCAGGGGGCAGGGCTAGGGGAGCATTGGAGAGGGGCAGAGTATGCCAGCTGCAGGCCAGGTGCTACCATCCTTGGATCCCACCCACTCCCCATGTTGTTGTGCTGCCTGGGAGAGCCCTTGGTACTGGGGCAAAGGCAGTGCTGGCAGAGGAGGCTCCAGAGCTGAGAATTGGCTGGACAGTAGCAGGCGCTTCCTGCAGTGGGAGGAGCACCCTCGATCGACTTCTGTCATGTCAACAGCTCATGTGCCCTTTGAAGCTCTTCCTAAAACCACAATTTGACCCAACTGATCCCTCCAGTGGGCTCTGTCGCAGTGAACCCTGTCCAGCAGGTGTATGAGAAAGAAAGACAAGGTGGTTTTAAAATCCTGATACTCAATTTAAAGATGAATGCCCTCCCCTTCTACAGCATCCTGAGCCAGGGCAGCTTGTGGGTATGATCACTTCTTGGTCCAAAACTGCTTGTACCGCTCCAGGTCAAAGTTGTCAAGGAGCTCTGGCTGCTGCTCCTCCTTCCCTCGGAGCTGGGCCTCCCGTTTGCGGAACCGTGCCCGCCTCTCCTCTGGGGACAGGGCATCCAGGTCCACAGGCATCTGGAGAGGAAGGGAAGGCATGCACTCATTCACTGGAAGGGACCAGAAAGTGTATGCCACTTCTCTCCCTTCAAAGCTTCTACTCTTTAAAGAAATTTCTGCTTGTTTACCCAGGAAGTGTTTCTTTAAATTTGTTTTACATATAGCCTGCTGCTGCTGTCTGGTCTTGGTGTGTGGAGTGAGTTCCATAACTTGCCCTCCCTCCCCCCGCCCCCCCATCCAGCCTAGACCTGCACCCCAGGGAGGGAAGCTTACCGCCAGCATTCGTCTGGGCTCCCGGTAGCGGATGTGAATGGTGGAGCCATCCTGCTTGACCAGGAGCATGGGGTAGAGGCGTGCATAGGCCTGTCTGTGCACACGAGTGAGCGAAGCTCTGCTGCTGTCAGCCCAACGCGAAGATATGTGCAGGCAGCGGACCACAGGGGCAGCCCCTATCACCACATGCTGCTGCAACAGGCCAAGCATGCTGCCCACAACTGCCATTCCTCCTGAGGGCGCAACAGGCTGCAGACACATATGTTGGTCAGTGGCAGGTGCTGGGACCAGAGTGCCCCCTAAGCCCAAAATGGCCAGCTCCTGTGGGTGCCCACAGGGATCGCCTAGGTTTGGGATATGATCAGAGCACCTTCTACCCCATGTCTTGGAAGAGGCCAAGGGGGGTGAGCACAGAGACTTTCAGACTGCTGAGGACAGGGGATTTAGGATAGCAGTTTCTAGATGTCTGCAGCTCTGGACATGAGCATGGAGCAGGAAACAGTCTTTTAGGGGAACACAGACTTGGTGCTGTGAACTGGATCGCCAAATTCACATGTTGAAGCCCTAACCCCCAATAAGAAGGCATCAAAAGCAGGGCCTTTGGGAGGTGATTATGGTTACAAGAGATCATGAGGGTAGAGCCCTTACAGTAGGAATGGTGCCCTCTTATAAGGGACGGGAACTGGCTTTCTCTCTGCCCTGTGAAGACATGGAGAAGGTGGCCATCTGAACCAAGAACATCTACAGAATTGGGGGAAATAAGCTGCCTGGTCTGCTGCGTTCTGTTGGGGCAGCCTGAGCCCAGCAAGACCTGTGGAGCCCACTAGCTTCTGAACATGGCATACACTCAAAACCTCCCACACGGGGAAAAGCACATACTCTGAGGCAAAAGGCCCTGCCCTGCCCCATCTCTCACCCACTTGGGGCCTTGCCTTGTGACCCCCTAAGTCCCCTACAGCGTGGCTTTCATGCAAATTTGAATTTAGACCCACCTCCTGCACCTCCTAGCTGACACCCAGGGCTGAGGGCCCATCTCCTCTGCTAGACTCTGATGGCCTGGGGGCAAGAACCACAACTTATTGACTGTTAAGTCCTACCATTAGCTGAGCACTCAGTAAATTTTGGCCAAATGAATCCAGTCCCTGCCTTCAGAAGTGTAAGACAGGAGAAAGGAGGTGGTGGGGGAGCGCCAGCACCAGAAGAGCCTGCAGTCAGGCAGGGCCTATGCCTAGCAGTGCCAGGGAGCCCAGGGCACAGCCTCTCCTGAGAACCTGAGATCAGTGGGCTGGGGAGGCTTCTGGAAGGGGATGGAGCCAATCCTTGGAGAATGTTGGTGTTCTCCCACTATAGCATTGGTTCCCACATGAACCTTTCCCAGGATGAGGGCCCTCCAGGGAATGCTGTAGCCAGAGTTCCTTCCCCATGTTCACACTGACTCAGACTCCAAGTGTCACATCCCTCTCCCCAGATTCCACAAAAACAAGGAACCTGCCCTCGTTTTCTCCTCTGGCAACACTAACCATACCATGCTTCCCATTTGGGGGAAGCAATGGGGCAAGGGGAACAGACAGTGCCTGTGGGAACAGCAGGAAAGCCATGGCATTCTCCAGGGACCCAGAGCAGAGACTGGTTGCAGGGTCTGAATAGGAAAGTGACCACCACCACTGTCTGGTGCTAAATAGTCACAAGTGGCTTCTATTCCTCCCTCAACACCCTGTCAAAGCATCTGTACATGTGTACTTGTGTATATTCTCCAGATAACACACTGGCTTGGGAGGCTTCCCTAGGGCAGCACGGCCTGAGGCTCCAGAGTTGATATTCCTTTGGGTGACCCCATGACAGCAATCACAAGAGGCCTGGAAGTTGGTGCTTACCCAAGCATGCTGCCCACAACTGCCATTCCTCCTGAGGGCCACTGTGGCATGTGGAGGCCCAAGACCAGTCACTGGCCCAGTGTGTGACCTGCTGAGGAAGAACAAGTATTTTTTTAATGTGTTTTTATTGATTTCAGAGAGGAAGGGAGAGGGAGAACGGGATAGAAACTTCAATGATGAGAGAGAATTATTGATTGGCTGCCTCCTGCATGCCCCCCACTGGTGATCGAGCCCACAACCCAGGCATGTGCCCTGACCGGGAATCTAACAGCGACCTCCTGGTTCATAGGTCGACGCTCAAGCACTGAGCCACGCCGGCCGGGCAAGAAAAGTATTTCTAACAGGCCAGCTTTTCCAACAGAATTGATCCTTGCCAAATCCCAGCCAAGAAGAAAGCCACAAACCAAATCACATCTATAAACAGGTGTGTTATTCCCAGGTCACTGCCCGTCTCTCCCAGTAACCTACCAAGCTCTCGCCCTAACCTGGCATGAGAATCACCTGCGGAAGGTTTGTGATCAGCAGATGCCCAGGTCCTACTCCCAAAGAGCCCGACTCGGTAACTCTGGGCAGGGCCTGGGCCCATTCTCGTGAGTTAGAGTCAGGAAGCTGCTCTGAGCATGGAGTGCAACAGAAACTTGTTTTCCAAGGTCATTTAATTCTCACAATTCAGCGAGGTAAGGGACCCTGTGGCGTGGCAGGAGCCGAGGCCCAGGTACTCTTACTAAGCCCTTACTCCCAGGGAAGCCTCTGTCTGTGCTGAGGTTCCCGCGTGACAAACCAGAAGTTTCAAAACCAAATGCCTGAGGTCTCCGCATTCAGACCCCACGGCCGAGCGGAGGTGCAGGTGTGTCTCGCTGCCCCCTATCTGTCAGAGCAGGCACTGCAGGCGGCGACACGGCGGGAGAGGGGAAAGCCGTGAGCTGCCCAGAAGGATGCCGGCGGGACCCGAAACCGCCCTTGGGGAAGCCGTCCCTGCCGCAC